ATAAAAAAAAATAAAATAAAATAAGTGAATGAAAATAAAATTTAATAAGTAATTCTTTTAGGAAAAAAAAAAAAAAGCAGGACCAGTCAGGGGCATGGTTAAGGCAGCTGGATCCCACATGGCCAGCTGGTGTTCAAATCCCCATCCCACTAGCTTGAAAAACATGCCAGGTACATGTGTGTGCATGCCCAAAATCCTGAAAGGATGAAGGAGAGGGGATTGTGGCGTGACCCACTTTCCACCAAGGGATGCTTTCTCATTTTCTTCTTCTCTATCTTGTCTCTCTTCTGTGAGTGTATGCACCTTTTAGAAAATTTGAAAACAAAAACTCTGTTGCTTAAAAATAATAGTTTTTTTTTTAATTGGTAAAAAATATATAACGGGGCTAGCAGGTGGTGTGGTGGTTAAAGCTTCTGGACTCCCGCATGGCTGACTGTGGTTTGAGTCCTGAACCTGGTAGCTTTCTTTCTCACTTTCCTTCTCTCTCTGTGTGTCTCTCTCTCTGGTCAAATTAAATAATAATAATTAATAAAGTTAAATAAATAATTCTTTAAAAAATATATAACAGTATTTATCATCTTAACTATTAGGTTGTCTGGAAAGTCATAAATATTTTTCTTTGTAAAAATGCACATGACTTTCCTGATGACTCAGTATTTTAAGGGTATAATTTAATGGAATTAAGTACATTCACATTGTTCCACAACCATCACTACCGTCCGTCTGCATACTTTTTTCCTTTAGAGAGATTTTTTGCTAGAGGGTACATGTGCTTGCCAGAAAAAGAGGCAGAAAGCGAGAAATGACCTCCCCAGAGGATTTTGGACCCACACACACATGTACCCGGCATGAGTTTGAAGCCGGCAGGTCTGGGACTCAAACTGCTGCCGGCCATGTGGGAATCCAGAGATGTAACCATTATGCCATCTGCTGGTCCCATCTCCATACTTTTTATCTTCCTCACAGTGAAACTCTATACCCATTAAATACTAACTCACAATTTCTTCCTCCTCCTAACCCCTGTCAACCAACATTCTACTTTCTGTCTGAGTTTGACTACTCCAGGAACTTTATATATAATACAATACAATAAATGCCCTTTTGTGGGATCAGCAGTTAGCATAATGGCTGTGTTGCTGGACTCCCATGTAGTCGACTGTGGTTCGAGTCCCAGACCTGATGGCTTAAACTCATGCCGGGCGCATGTGCATGCGTGCCCAAGATCCCAAGAAGAGAATGGACAAGAAGGGATTACGGTGTGGCCATTCCCTCTGGGGGGTGATTTCTCACTTTCTGTCTCTCTGTCACTCTCTGTCTTTCTGGTGAGCGCACACACCCTATAGCAAAAATCTTTCAAAAAAAAATGCCATTTTGTGACTTTCTTATTTTCTTAGCAAAATGTTGTCTTAGTTCATCCACGTTGTACCATTTGTTTCCCTCTGTCTCTCTCTCTCTGTCACAAATTTAATTAACACACTTGGGTTGTTATCATCTTATAGCTCTTGTGGATAATGCTACTATGACTGTGGCTGTTGTACACTTGTTTTGCTAGGAAACTTTTTCCTTTTTAATCCTTTTTTTATTTATTTTTTAGCTAGAGGACACATGTGTTTGCCACAGAAAGAAGGGAGCACCCCCAATGGAGCGTGGTCACGCGACAATTCCTTTTCCCTCCGTTTCTCCATCTTGTCAGGATTTTAGGTGCACACACATACGCATGCGCCCAGGGTGTGTTTCAGGCCACAGAGGCTGAGATTCAAACTGCGGTTGGCCGTGCGGACCCAGCTCCCTGTGCACCGCACTAACTGCTGCCCTGCGGGGTGGCCCTAGGGAGCTTTCTCTTAGTCACCAGCTACATTCGCTCTTCATTCTGTTTTCGTACTGTGGTGTTCAGTTCGTCCTGACCTTACCCCTACCTTTTCTACCTCTCTTCCGACTCTGGTTCTAAGAATTTAAGGCACATTACTCAACTCGTTTGTTGTCAGTATGTGTGGCTTCATCACTGTTCTCGGCGGACTGGTGGGTATGGTACGTGGACTGTCTTTTGGGAGCCTGCCCCTTTTTCCCTCGGCCTTAAGATGTCTTTGTCCAAGGAGCTTGGAATGGCATCCCTCCCACTCTTTCTCAGCTGAACTCTCAGTGTTAGGGCTCGGAGCCTTTATTTCTCTGGGCCTACGCAGAGAGCCACTGTGGTCCTCCCACTGACTCTCCTCCTCCCCTACCACGGACGTCGGTCTGGCAGTTTTCAGGGCTGCGGGCTCACTGTGCGAGCTGGCAGAGTGAATGGCACGTGGCTGAGACTTGGACTCTGGCCTCAGTGTTAGCGAAACTGGAATGCCGGCTGGCTACTTCTGCCCTGTATTACTCCCCCTTTCTGTTCTTCTCCAGGTCATAAGGCCTGAGTGTAGAAACCTGAATCGCCATCCTACTCACACTTACACACACACGAGAAAACAGGTTTGGTGAGGGGAGTCACACAGTGAAGGGCAGAGGCCAGCATTCTCTGCCGATGCCATATGACCTCTTCCGACCTGGCTCTGGCTGCCATTTGTATGTGGTGCTCCCTTTTCTTCTGTTCTCCATTTTGACTTTGACTGGTAAAGAATCCAAGTCACGTAGGTTTTCAAACTGTGTCTGTGACCCCCAGTTAGGAATACGTTACCTTTCAGCCCTGCAGGTACACACATTCATGTACAACTGAAACCCTGCCTACCTCATTTTGTGTTACGTACTCTGATATATTTATTCTATTTTATCATAATTAACATCAACAACAAAATCCCAGTCCTAGCACACAGCATTAGGTCTAGAACTCACAGCCTGTCAAGATTCTGTCTGACAGACACTGCCATATTGCACCCTCTCTCAGGCCTCTTCCACAGCGTGACACTTCACTTTGTTTCCTGAGACTCTCCGTGGCCGCTCTTGATCGCAAACTATTCTGGCCTCTTCCCTCTTCCTGCAGGGCTTGTTCTTGCTTTCTGCCCCACAGCCTTTGCTTGGTGGACTCCTCTTCATCCTTCATCCTTCGTCCTTCAGCCTCAGCTTCAACTCCTGTCCTCAGGGAGGCCCTCTCTCACCCCCTGCTAGAGCCTCCCGCAGCTCCGTGCCCATGTTGAATGTCTTCTCCGTTAGACACTGAGCTCTCCAAGGGCAGATACGACCAGGATGCCTCTGGGATGTCCCGGGTAACCTCTTCCTTCCATCTTTCCACCCCTCGTCTCTCTAGTTCCTGGCCCAGCTAAAGATCATGGACTACAGCCTGTTGGTGGGCATCCACGACGTGGACCGGGCAGAGCAGGAGGAGATGGAGGTGGAAGAGCG